CATAGAAAATGATAATTTGGGGAAAGGGGGAAACTAAAAATGACTATCATCCAATTTCTTCTGTAATTAGAATTTCCATGTTCTTCCTCTGATGCTAATAGTAAAGTAATAAGATAGATGAGATTATCACAAACAGGGCTTACAAAACTTTAGATATTGGGACTGGGTTGATAATTCAGTTGGTGAAGTACTTACTTACCTTGCAAGTGTGAAGACCTGGGTTCAACTCCCAGAGACTAGAAAATTAAAAAAAGAAAAAGCAGGGCTTGGTGGCATGCTTTATTATCTCAGCAGCCATGGAGGCAGAGACAGGTGGACCCCTGGGATTCGCTGGCCAGTCTGCCTAGCCTTCTTGGCAAGTTAACAGGCCCAATTTTAGCTGAGAAGCTGTTGGCAGTTGATGATTGCTGTGGGAAAGAAAGTCACTTTTCTTTAGGAGTGTGGCCACCGGTAACTTCCCCATGTCCCAGTAGACAACCCTGCATCCACCGGCCATACTCATCCGATAAATAAAGGAGTAAGGAGAATATAAAGTGGGGAATTCCCTGAAGAGATCTGAGGGTGTGTATGAAGGGTGAATATGACCAAGATCATTGTGTAAATGTATGAAAATTTCAAAGACTCGGTAATTTTTTTGTTTGTTTGTTTTTGTTTTTGTAGAGCTGTGGTTAAGAGGGCTCGCTGCTCTTCCAGGGGACTCAAGTTTGGTTCCCAAAGATCCACACTGGGCAAATCACAACTGCCTGTAACTCTGCTTCAGGAGATCTAATGCCCTCTTCTGACTCTCCGTGCTTTGGACTGGTGAGATAGTGACCTGCGGTCTGGGTGATGAGACTGTGCATATCCTAACAGAAGGACACGGGGAAATTCTGGGATGCGGTGAATGCTTTTCACCTCCAGGGGGAGCCAGAGAAGAGAGCCGAGGACAAAACTTGCTCCAGTGCTGACGGCCTCCAGTGGACCTAGGTTTTTCAGCTCACTTGCTCAGCTCCGCGAGGTGGGGTGGACGAGAGATGTCCCCCAAGAGGCAGTTTGCCGGCGTCAGCGGTTGTCAGCACGTGCTTTCGGACCTGTCTGGGACCCAGGGGCAGGCCGGCAAGATGCCGGGTACCAGGGCCCAGCCATCGGGCCAGGGCAGGAGAGGAGCCTGCCTGCTGGCCGCTCTCCTACTCTGTTCCAGTCTCTTGCCACTGCATGCCCAGGACTACACGCCCACGCCAGGAGCCCCAGGCACACTGGACGTCCCGCCCACACCAAAAGGCCCCCCAGACCAGGCGGAAGGTAAATACTCGAAAGAGGAGGCAGGTCTCAGATGGGCATGTCCCCTCCCTTTCCCTTGGAACATAGGCAGTTGGCGGGGGTGGGGGGGAATAGGGGGATGGATGTGGGGTCTGCAGGCTTTTACACTGAGCGTGAAGCTTTGAAGGTGGGGATCAATACAGGATATACCCTTATCTTCTGCTGACTAATTCTCATTGATCTCCAGACCCCCTCCCTCAGTTCAGGGTCAAGGTCATGCACTAACTAGGCTGGCTGAGGGCTATACCATGCTCTTCATTGGGTTGAGATGGGAGGCCACACCCATCCGAAAGACCATGGCACTGAACAATAATGGCCTCAGTCAGCCTCAGTTTCTCGTTTTTCAGAGCTGGGCTCCTCAAGTTAATAAGGTCTGAGGAGAGCCTGGCAGCACCCTCGCCTTTGCCTGCACCTCTCTCTGTTCTGCGGGCCTTGCTTGAGAGGCTCTCAGCCTGACACTGCACCCCTGCCCCGCCCCGCCCCGCCCCTGCCATCCAGGAGGCTCATGGGCCACCCCACTCTTGACCTTGGCTATGCCCACCTGAAAAGGGAGAGGAGAGGCCATGGCGTCCCCCTGGGGCCTGCTGATGCTGACTTTTGGCGTACCAAGCACATGCATCCTGAATGCAGGTGCCTCGCGGCTGGGATTGTCTCCACAGTATGTGGCAAGACCAGTTTCCAAGGGAAGATCTTTGGCGGTCAGATGGCAAAACCTGGGCGGTGGCCATGGCAGGCCAGTCTGCGCTTACATGGCAGTCATATCTGTGGAGCAGTCCTCATCGACAAAAACTGGGTAGCCGGCGCTGCCCACTGCTTCCAAAGGTGGGTATGTGTTCCCTCCCTGGGGCCCTTCTGCTGGGAGGGGGTGCAGGAGGGCGTCACTAGGAGGGAAGGAGAGAAGGAAGGATGCATATCAGCCATTGCCTTCTAGACTGTGTTCTGGGCTAGCGGGCTGCCAGCAGGAGTCCTCTGTGCTGTTGCCCTGCCCTTGGGTGTTGCCCTCCACCCGGACTGCCAGCCCTGCTCATCACCTGACTCTCATCTTCTGCCAGTCTGAGTCTCGCATTACAGACAAAGGTCTCATATCTTGTCTCTCACCCTGGGGATGTCCTCTCCCCCTCTCCGAGACCCAACTAACTAGTGTGGTTGTCACAGTGATATACACACCCAGCTGTAATTCCAGCTAACTAAAATGACTTCCCCTCGGGCGTAATTAAATTAGTGCTGGAGAACAGTTCTGAAGTGGTCACCTCCAATCCTTTCTTTTCTCTTTCATGAATGCTAGGGATCAAAACTTTGTTTCCTTCGAGTATACTTTGGTATCTGACACCTGCTTACCTCTAGACAGTCTCTGCAGATGGCAGCAGACCTGGCTTCTCCGGGAAACTGTGGGCACTGTGTCCTGACCTAGCTAGACACAGCACAGGCTCAGTGCTTAGAGAAAGTCACAGTCCCAGGATCCTATTCCCAAGACTGGATACAGTCGGAACCTCTGTGGACAAGCATCTGGCATCCTCTGGCCAGGGCTCTCTCTGCAGGCATTATCCGGGGCATGTTTATTGGAAGTTCATTTGGGTTCAGGCCACTCTTACACTGGAGCATAGTTCTCCCGAGGCATCCTGGTACTGTGGGGGCGGGGTGAGGGGTGTTTCTATCTTTCCTGTAATGGGGGATGTCACTCTTCCTAGAGTACATGATCTATGTACTAGTAAAGTCAAGCAGATGTATCTGGGCTAACCGTGTGCCCAAAGGAAGTGAGGAGGAAAAATTACTGCATATGGGATCCATTTACATATACAGCACCCATGTGTGCCAGACCCAATGTGGGAGGGTCATGTGGAGGATGTGTGAGGCCCACCTATCAGGAAAATGAGGCCAAGGCCACTTCCCAAGGTTGTAAATCATGAAGGTATGTCAAGGAAATGCCATGAGTCATATAGCTAAAGGTGCCTTTAAGGAAGGAGATTCAGGAATGTGGAGTGGACATGAATAAGAGCCATATTAGTGGACATGTGGACTAGAATATAATTTGTGTTCCAGAAATAGTAAGCTTTCACTTATTATTCTATTTCCTCCACAAATACTTCTTGAGTGCCCTTGGTCAGATAGGAATCCAATATTGAGAGAAGACAGTGTGTGAGGATTGGGGTATGGGTCATGCCAGACAGTAGGGGGAGGGCAGTCTTTGAGAAGGTCTATAGCTAGAGTTTTCCTGCCTTGTCCACAGTCAGGACAAATCTTTGTCACA